TGACCAAGGCAAAGGAAGGCACTGAGAGTTTGCAAGAATAAAGGACAACTACATTAAATGTTGTAACACATGCAGTCTTGCAACAGCAATAACAAACAATAATTTGTGAGTAGATGTAGAGGTAAATATGTGTGTTAAATAGGTGAGGGAAGTTATACAGGAGTACACCCACATACATATATAGGTATGCTTGTGGATATTTCTACATACAAATTTGTAATTGCTGCATGTATACTCATAAATATAATAGAGCAAATAAGAGGCACAGTTATAGAGTCTATTTAGACATCAGGACTGAACAAACTCCTGGGAGACAGCTCAGGGGGCAGGAGTGTATGGGGGGATGGACACTGGGAAGAGGTAACTATGGGGGGGAAGTGTGAGGGGAGCTGTTGCATTGTGGTAAACTGTGATCAATGACATGAGACAAAGTATATGTGAACTGCTGTATGGAAAGTGAATTTGCTCTCTAAATCTTCACCCAGATCACAATTTAAAAAAAAAAAGAAAGAAAGAAAAGAACCATCATCTCGGGATGTCTAGGTCAACGGGCAAAACACAGTTCATAAATTTTCTACAGTTTAATCTGATGAGTAGCATCTGCAGTCTTAAAAGCTTGTGAGATGCTATCTAATAAGCAACTATGTGTCTCAGTAGAACGGAGGAGAATAAAGAAAACCAAAGAATCAAGGAAGCAATTAGTCCAAAGGACTGATGGCCCCCATGAACCACAGCCTTGTAGAACTAGTTGGTGCCTGACTACCACTACCAACCTCTCTGATTCGGACCACAATGGAAGGTCCTGATGAGAATGGGTAAAAAATGTAGAACAAAATTTAAATTAAAATAAAGACTGGTCTGACATAGACTGGAGGAACCCTAGGGATATCGCCCAAAGACAACCTTCTAACTTCAAACTGAAAATACTCCAGAAGGCCACTTTCAGCCAATTAATAGATGAGCCTATAACATAAACAATAACGCCTGGTAAGAATGCCCTTCTTAGAACAGTCCACCATAGGAGACCAAAAGGGTAACATCTTCCAAAACCAAAAATAAGAAGGCAGAAAGGGACAGAGAAACCGGATGAATAGAAATGGGGAATTCAGGGAGGAGAAGGGGAGAGTACTGTCACATTGTGGGAATCACAACCAACGTCACAGAACAATTTGTGCATGAATTATTGATTGAAAAACTAATTTGCTATGTGAACTTTCACCTAAAGCACAGTAAAATGTTTCCAAAAAAAAAACTAAAAATAAAATTTCAGCCTAGGAAACCCTATGGGGCAGTTCTACTCTGTCATATAGGGTTGCTTTGTGCCAGAATTGACTAGACAGCACATAACAACATGATCCTAGGGGCTGCACAGTCTTGCATCAATCAGGATTTGCCAGTGATTTCAATGTAGCCTCATACGTTTAGGAATCAGGGCTTTGAGCAGATTCATTCTAATTCAATCCTCTGCTGGGAATTTGCATTTCTACCCCAGGTGTGCGGGAGCTCTGGTAGCATAGTGCCTAAGGCACTTGACTGCTAACCAGAAGGCTGGCGGTTCAAACCCACCAGCCACTCCTCGGAAGGAAGGTTGGGCAATCCTACTTCCGTAGTGATACTGCCTCGGAAACCCAAGGAGGGGTCGCTATGAGTCGGGGCCGACTCGATGGCAAATAACAACAACAACAACAACCCCAGGTGTGCTGGCTCTGAATCTATCCTTTGGCAGGATTCCCAGGTGATTCTTTTGTACACAAGGGAGTCACCCGGGGATCTATAAGAATCATCTAGAGATCTTGTTAAAATATAGATTCTGATTCAGTATCTCCTGAGTGAAAATGCAAGTTCGCACAGGGGGTCAAGGGAACCATGAACCAGTTTGCAGCCCTGTTAGGAATATAATGCACAACTTGCTGTGCCCTTGTCTCTGTTGAGGAAGCAGACAGCTTTCCATTAGGCTCTCAATTGCAAATTCCTCCATGCATCCTTCATGCCCATTCTGCTGCTGCTACAAAACTCTCCCTGTGTGCTGCCCAGACAGGGTCTATGTGTCTCTGGCTTCCTTGCATTCAGGTGGTATCGTGCATCGAGTTCTTGCTGATGGAATACGATCAAGAATCACGTATAACTTTTCCATGAAAACACTCCTCTTGGCAGCTAGAGACATCAGCCACAAGAGAGAAAGAACACAGTTCATTCATTGATTCAGACCTTGAAGGAAAACCACCTCCTCCAAGAGCAGATATTCCATCTTTGGACTTTGTGTGAAAAAGAAACTTCTATCTAGTTTAATATATTATTTAAGAAAGAAAGTAGAATATTCATGTCTATAAATCAAAAACGAAATTCACTGCAGTCGAGTCGATCTCGACTCATAGTGATGACTCCTTGGATTTCCGAGGTGGAATCTCTAAGGAAGTAGATTGCCCGACCTTATTTCCGAAGACTGGCTGGTGGGTTTGAACCACCAGCCTTCTGTTTAACAGTCAGATGCCTTAGGCACTATGCCACTAGAGCTCCCATTCACTTCTAGTATATAACAAATATACCTTTGTGCTCAGCCCAACCACACATGCCCAAAAAACCCTTGAAAAAGGAATTTTTTTTCCCTATGGCTGTGGTCCCAGGGTAGTGCTAGACTCATCGAAGCCCCCTAAATGTTGGGCAAAATTAGAGGGTCAATGGAAAGAACCACAATCTGTGTTTCTATACTTCTAGCAACCTATTCTGCCTGCTTCATGCTTGTCTGATTTCAAAACTGAACGGAGACATAAATGGATGATTCTAAAAAAATGTGATATTGAGAGCCTCAGAGGAAAAATGACTCTCTTGCAAGTAAGGTCTAAAATATTAGGACCCTTCCATCCTAGAAGAATATAGATAGATTTATGATGAAAGTTTTGAGAGACTTAATGACCAAGAGATAAAGAAAATAAAGGCAAATTTACCTAATCCAAGAATATTAGAATTAGACACTTGCATGTCCTGCAAGTGAAAACTGGCAATGTTCACCCACAGCCCTCAATTTTTTTTAAATCCAAATTTGAAACAGTTCAAATGTCTTTTAACTGATAAAACAGTTAAACAAAACAAACTGTGGTACAACCATACTATGGAATACTCAGCAATAAGAAGGAATAAGCTATTGATACAAGCCACAGTGTGGATGGATTTCAGAGGAATTATGCTGAGACAAAAAAGGCAGCCACAAAATGATCACCTACTATATGATCAATTGATATAATATTTTTGATAGAACAAAATTATAGAGGTGGAGAACAGATCAGTGATTGCCAGTGGATAGGGAGGAGGAGTGGGAGGGGTGACGTGGCTATGCAAAGATATCCCAAGGGAGCTTCATGGACATGAGAGTTATGTATCTTGATGTATCTTTATGGTTTCCATAAATCTACACACATGCAGCTGCATAGAACTACACACACACACACAAATGAGTGCATGCAAAACTGGTGACTCTGCGGATTATCAGTTTCTGGGTTTTGATACGTGCTATGATCAAGCACTCAACTGCTTACCAAAGGTCAACAGTTTGAACCCAGCAGCTGCTCTCACTGGAGAGAGATGTGCCAGTCTATTTTCGTTAAGACTAAAGTCTCAGAAACCCTATGGAGCAGTTCTACTCTATTGGAATAGACTCTAGCAACGGGTTTGGTGTTTGGTTTTATAGTTATGTGAGATGTTATCATTGATTAAAACTGGGTCAAGGGTATGTGGAACTTCCCTGTACTTTTGTTTTGCAACTTCCTTTGAATCTATATTTCTAAATAAAAGGTAAATTAAATCAATGATAAATACAAATGAGGCTAATTGAAGATGAAAGGGAACATGTTTTTGTTTGTCTATCATGTACCCTCATCTCACTGAATCTTTATGACAACCTTAATAGGTGGTGATTGTGATCCTTTACTGAAAAGCAATTGTAGGTCAAGAGTTTTAGCAGTGTGTTCAAGATCACAGTTGGTATGTAGTAGATTCAGAATCAACATCTAATTGTGTCCATCTGCAAAGTACGTGGGCTTTTCTCTATACTGTGCTGCCTCTATTCAAATTGGTTTGAAACAAGTCATGGATTATAGATAGGGTATTAAGGACTTCTTTTTGTGGGAGCATCAATCTTTAGCTCCCATGTTACACGTTTTAGATTAAAAACCCTTTAAACCTCTTCTTATTTCTGCTGTCACACTGGATTCTGGTCTGGATAAAATGCCATTAATGAGTGCCATTCATTTTCTATTGTAAAGTCCCCTGAGCACATGTGCTCCTATGCTGTGTATAAATAAAAAGAGACAGTGACATCCATGGAATATTTCAGCGGCAACAAGTAATGAGAGACAAATTTTAGTGCCTTTGAATGCTGAAAGGGTTTATTGGGGAACGTTAAGCAGGTCCACATAAGAAAAACATTATTAGAAACAGAAAATATTTGAAAACTTCTTATTTTGTATCAGAATTGGGAATTCTAAAATAAATTGATTTAGTATCTGACTGCGGGAGCTCTGGTAGCATAGTGCCTAAGGCACTTGACTGCTAACCAGAAGGCTGGCGGTTCAAACCCACCAGCCACTCCTCAGAAGAAAGGTTGGGCAATCTACTTCTGTAGTGATACTGCCTGTGCAACCCAAGGAGGGGTCGCTATGAGTCGGGGCTGACTTGACAGCACATAACAACAACAACAACAATCTGACTATAAATTCTGATTCACTAATAATAAGATGTTTCGACAATAGAGAACAGAGAGGGTGATAATATAGAGACCAAGTATTTCCTAGTCCATCTCATGATCCTGTTTGTAAGTTTATGGCATCAGGAAGTGCCACGTGTTTTGTTGCATAGACATTCTCTGCCTCAACTGCAGATGGGAGCAAGGACACTGATGAATCGTTCCTGGTTCTAGGGCAGAACACTCAACAGCGAGAACCACCACAGCAGCTGGGATGGTAGCAAGTTGTTTGACAGCAGCACATGGGCTGTCAACAGAGAGACTAACAGCATTGGGGCTTGCAGCAGCTGGATACACAGCAGCTAGGATGGCAGCAGCTGGTCACACAGCAGCTGGGCCTGCAGCAGGTGGGTTGGCAACACACAGACTGGCAGCATTGGGGCTTGCAGCAGCTGGACATGCAGCAGCTGGGGCAGCAGCAGGTGGGCTGGCAACACACGGACTGGCAGCACCGGGGCCTGCAGCAGCTGGACACACAGCAGCTAGGACGGCAGCATCTGGTCACACAGCAGGTGGGTCTGGAGCAGGTAGGCTGGCAACACACAAACTGGCAGCATTGGGGCTTGCAGCAGCTGGACACACAGCAGCTGGGGCGGCAGCAGGTGGTCCTGCAGCAGGAGGTCTGGCAGCAGCTGGGTTGGCAGCAGGTCTCCTGGCAGAGACCTTGGCCACAGCCCTGGTCAGAGCACACAGAGCCACAACAGGAGTTGACCATGCTGTCAGAGGATGAAAGTTCTGGGTGTATTTCCAGGAGAGTGTATTTCTTGAATCTGGAAGTCTCTTTGTCCCATATTCCCTTTTATACCCTTCTGAGGGAGCTCTTTCATTGTTATTGTTTACTCTAGTAAGTAAGCAATTATCAAATTAGCCAATTACATTTTTCAAAATAGACAATAAACATTACTTTTTTTTCCTGTATTAGGATTTATCCCATTGGCTCTTCCTGAATTGCATATTGTGTATCTTCCTCTGAGTGCATCATCTTGGCTCAGATGCTGATTAAATAAAGTGTTGACTCTCACCCCATCTGCTCCTTCTTCCTGAATCATCTCCTGCCATTCCTTCCTTGTGGCCATCATCTATGTTTACAGACACTGCACCTTCTTACACAGAGTAGTTATCGTGAAGGGTGACATGGAGTAGTCCAGGTGTCATTCTTCTCCATGGGTGGCCCATAATCATGCCCATGTTTTTTTTTTTTTTTTT